AGGCGGCCGACCCTGACCGCGCGGCCCTGGACACCCACCCTGGCGGCGGGGTCCCGGCTCCACGCGCGCTCGCAAACCCAGCCGGGGCCCTGGAGACGACGCACGGGCGGCCCCGGGGAGCCACCGGTTTTCCAAGCTCCCTCCCACGCCGAACCCGCCACCCCAAGCCCGTCTGTATATTGCTTTTGTCACGGCTCTGGGGCAGCCAGAGTTGTCATCTCGAGGCTGGGAAGGCGCCCGCGCGGGCCCGCGCGGGGAGCAGGTGGGGCGGGCGAGAGGGCGCTGCAGGCTGTGCGTCAATCGCCGCCTTTTNCGTCTCGCCGGGGAGGAAGGGTCGCGCCTCCTCGGCGCGGCATGTGCACAGTGTCTTTAGACCGCAATTGAAAGTCCGCAGCAAACTGTAGCGCTTTTTGGGGTTTTTTCCTCTCTCTCTTTTGAAAAGAAGTCTTTGGAATTTTGGAGAAAAAGAAAAGGGTCATTAACTACCAGAGTTTTCGCAGCTAAAAAAATTAGTGCCCAACGCACTGTTCCTTTCCAAGGATCTGGAAAAGTTTCCAGCAGCAGTGGAGAGCAGTGGTGCCTGCCTTAGAGGGACAATGGTGACTCGTTCTGTGAGATCCTATGGCCAAGGGTCGAGCCAAAATCCTTTGTAAATATTTCAGATGTTAAAAGAAATTGTTGCTTATTTACATCCTTCGAAAATTTTTGGGACTCCATTCTATTAAAATGTGTTCGTTTCTTACGACCTTTACTTGCAAAGAGAACGGGATCTGTGCTTTGTCCAGTTGCAATAGCTAATTTCAGGAAAGCATTTTGTCTTTGAAAATGTGTTTCTAGATTTAAAAAAGTAACAAAAGGTCTGTATTCCAAACAAAAGCAGAAAGTTGTATTGAAATTGTTTCCTCCATTAAAAAGATGCTGCGTTGTATTCATAGGATACCAACTAAGTAATTTAAATATTGAGAGGAAAACTACTTTGAAATAAAATAAGCTTTTGCTTTGTCATCTTTGTCTTAAGATTTTAGAGGCCTTTTGTGAAGGGGCTGTTCCTTTATGGCTGAAATACTGAAAACCTTATTTGTACCACAGCAGCTCGATAATGATGAATCCTTAAGGCACCAAAAATAAAATATAAATTGAGTTCAAAACAACATTCCATTTATTGTTGGGTATAACGGTAATTGTGGCCAGGCTAAATGAATTTGTTTAAATTCTTAATGGCCATAAAAGAGATTTTAAGGTTATTGCATATCACTTGTTTGTATTTAATTATTCAATAAAACGTGAACTAGGCTTGAAAAGCTCCTGCATTATATTTAATATCTTAAGGGACATAACTACTTAAAGATAAGCATTTCTCTAACTTAGTAATTTTTAAAACTTGAAATTTGAACTAGAATTTAAGTCACTCTCTTCCAAGTGAGACTTTAAAAGGAGCCCTAAGTAACAGGTTTTGACTTTCATTGTTGACCCCTTTGGGCTATATATAAAACCAGTCCTCAAACAAAACACATAAGCCCCCTTTATAGGTGAATAGTTTACACAGGGAAATGCAGTTTTGACAAACATAAATCATAAAACACCCAGGATTAGAATTCTTTAAATTTAAGTTACATTAAAAATAGCTTTAAATAAATATCTATTCTATTTAGTTTAGTTACTTGAGTAATTCTTGTCTTTTCCTAAAGAAAACTTTATAAAAATATTCCAGAGAAAAACAAGAGACTTGAACAAAGCCAGAGAGCCACTGGGGCTGAAGTTCATCTAAACACCTCAGCTGCTGAGTATCAGCTTTAAAGGTGCTTAGCTATCAAAACAGCCAAGCCAAAGCCAGAGCCTCAAACGTGTATAACCAGAGTGAATATTAAAGAAAATTTTACCCAACTTCTTCATTAAAAACTACCGATCGTTCAAAACACACTGAATTTAGGTCTAAAGTCAGAAGAAATACATTCTCGGATAAAACAAGTGATCCAACAAACTAGATTTTTTTCATGTTTAATGTGAAAACGATGACCTCGTGAAGTTTGCATACCACAGTGTTAAGCATTACTTAATATGCATTTTGGTGGCTGTTTACATCCTCTATAGATAATGTGACAATTGGTGGCATATATTACATGCTTTTCAAAACTACTGAAAAACAGAAATAATGTGAATTCAAATACATATCGCAGAGGAGCTGGGGCTAGCTCTTAAAAGACAGGATGGTAAACTTTACATGTTGGCAAGATAAAAAGAAATTGCTAAACCTCTTTTTTTCTGTATTAAAATAATGAGTCTTAGATGATAAAGTAACAAGATCCAATACGTTAAATCAGAATATTTACATAATAAGTTAAATAATGTTTTAGACCAAACCAAAAAAACAAAAAACAGAAATGAGAAATTATGGACATTATTCTTCTTCTAAATTTAATTTTTTTCTATTGCTTCTTAGTTACAAGCATTTCAAAGGCTTTTTAATAATATGGAAACTTTTAAACTCCTAATTAAAATGAAGTGAGGTCACATTTAAAGCAACAAGTTATCCCAGTTATGTAAAAATACCTTCCTGTTAGTTTCAGAGGTATTTTGCACCATTCAACAGGGAAGAAACCTGGATAATTATCTCAAGAAAATGCTGCGTCATCTGAAATTTGAAGTTCAATGTAGTTTAAGACATTTTCTCTTTGGGCCACAAAAAAAAAAATAGTAAGATTTTATTAAATTATATTAAGTTATACCAATTCTCTGGCAGATACCTAAAAAGAAAGGGCTTTTTAAAAATGAATAATTCTGAAATTAACAAGTTGGTATCCTTTTCTAAATTATGGGAATACTTATTGGTAACATTAAATTTATTTTTATAAGGTCCTACTTCTCACTTAAAGCTAAGTAACAAGTAACCACCACTGACAAAGTTATCTAGTGATAGGAAGTTGCACATTTAGTCAGAAAATAAATCATGAACCTGTAATTCTAGTTACACAGTGATAATGAAAACAAATGATTTGTCTCCGGAAACCATGTGTTAAAGCTGATTTTGGACAAGGAAACTGTATTTCTGAATCGATATATTGCAAATATATAAGCAAAGTTACTAGCCTATTTCTGTTTTGTCTAAGACGTAAACATTATTTTACCGTGTCTCTATTCATAAGATACCTTCCCATCTAAGTGTGAAATAGAATACTGGAAAGGTTCGACACTCTTAAAATATTTCAAACACCCAAAAGCAAAGTGCTTCCCCAGTGCAGGGGAGGGACCCGTAAAATATCAGCCACATGTCTGAACGAGACGGTCGGGCCTAGGCTGTCAGTTTCATAGTGGCTCAGCTCATACGTGCTGTGTTTGCAGCGACACTGCCCATTGACACAGAAGGAATCCTCTTTCTAGATTTTAAATGCTACCTACTTACTCGTCTTTTCAAATTCAGTAAAACCAACCAGGATTTTTTTTTTAAACATGTAAACCATTTCATTTGAGGGCAGGATCTTGTCTTACCAATAATGTTTGCCTATAAAGGAGAGTGTTGCAATCACAGGCTTTTAGCTTCTTAGCCAAAATAACACAACATAAAAACAGCACTAATAATCCAGCGTCTTGAAGAATTTAAATACCTAATAGCATGACAGTGAGCTTTAGGTAAGAGTATGTCATTAGCGAGCTTTCTTCTCTACGACTGGACATAATTTGCTGTTCCTCCGATGGTCACACTGGAATTCTTTTTTTTTCGGGATTCCTGCGGAGCCGGGCTCATTTTACACCCGTGTGAACTGCTGTCATCGCGACTGTGTCCAAACCCAGAGGATGAACTGGAAAAGGAGAGAGGGGGGAAAATAATAAAAAGAGGAAATTGGTTTTCACAACACACTCAAAGCCTGAGTAACAGAGGAGAACTGTAATTATCTCCAGTCACAAAGAGAGACAGGAAATTTGGACTTTTAATTAGCCATTTGGAGTGCAGTTGGATATTTTTTTAGCTAGATAATTTAAACGCAAATAATTCAAGTCTGACTAAATGAAAGTCACATAATCAGAATGCAGATAATTGAATTTCGACTGCATTCATTAATGCAGCGTGGAGGTGTGCGTGAGGACCACTATGATGAGCTGTCACAACTCAATACAATCTCAGTCAATTAATTTTCTCACTATCTTAGGATCACACCCACAAGAAGGGGAAGCGTGTGCGGACGCCCGGGTCGGGCAGAGACACGCGCGGCCTGCGGCCACGCGGGGAAGTACCTCTGGGGACCGTGACCCGCGTGGGGCTCGCCTTTCCCGTCCTCGTCTTCTTCGGGGAAGCGCCTGTTCATCAGGGCGAACTTGCGGATGGCGTCCTCCACGGAGTACCGGGTCTGCCCCGACACGCAGGCCTCGATGTCGTCGGAGGTCAGGTGGCTCTGCAGGAAGAGGTGCAGGCTGCTGTCCGAGAGCAGCAGCGCGTCGTGCAGCACCCTGGGCAGAGCAGAGGCGGTCAGCGGGCATGGGCACCGGGCACGCCTGCGCCCACCCCGGGCCCTGCCTCCCAGGGGGCGAAGCACATGCTAACTTGTGTTCCAGCCTCTGGAAGTCCAGGTGAGTACGAACACGAAGCCGATCGTTAAGAACATCTGTTAGAAGAACAGCTTCAAGGACGTTCCTTCCGTTTAACCATCTGTGACGGCCGCGTGGATTCATTACGGAAATATTTTGCGTGTGTAGTCACAGAAACTTACTTAAATCAAAACAAGAGAAAACTGACTGCCAACCAGCATGTCAATTCTGTGATCTTTACAGGCGAGGCTTTCGGGAAAACATCAAAACGTTCAGCTACTATTAAAAGTTCTATTAAAAAGTCATCTCTTTATTGGAAGGAAAAACTTTACAGCTATGCTTCTGTACAAGTTTACAAGGGCTCGGTTGAGAGGTGGCTTTTTTTTTTTTTGGAATCCCTAAGAGCGACTAGAAATGTCTCTGAAATCTTCAGTGGTGCAAAGAGTACAGATTTCAACTAGTGCCTCAGAACTGCAGGGAGGAGTGAACACCCCCTGTAGCAAAACCTACACATGCTCAAATTCGTATTATCAATGAATGTGTTTTCTCCTGACAAAGTATACCCTGATATTTAAATAAAAACTTTTTATCTTTTTTAGCAAAGATTTCTGTGTATGATAATTTCCAACTAAGACCAGTTAGTTGGAGGAGACAAAACCAAAACACTAAAACCCAAGTATAATTTTGCCCAACATGAGACTTTTCATAGAGACCTATGAAAAATAGATTATGTATTTAAGAATGAATGGACCTTACCTAATACTGTGCTTTTTTTTTTTAACAAGTAACTAGAAAAGTGCATCTCTTTGGGTCATCCATATTTAATTTACTTAAAACCCATGGTCATGTGAATTTTTTCCTTTCCTTCCACATGAAAGAGAATTATTTTTTCAAGAAGGCCAACGTCTAGAAAAGCGCGGTACCCACAACCAAAATCTAGCCGTCCCCTTGGCTGCAACAGGCTTACAAATGTGGTTTCAGAAAACATTCTTTACTGGCCTACAGAAAGGAAAAGTGAAACCTTTTTAAAAGGCAAAATCTCCAGCAAAGCAGCTGAACACTTCCTCTCCCTCCGTGGCCTCTGCCCCGGGTTCCCCAGAAGATGGCCCTGTCACATGATAAAGATTAATCTACCAAATACAAGTAGTAACGTGGCCAATTCCTCTCACTGCTCCCGAGATTCTCCGCGTGGACAGATGTTCGCCACCCTTTTCTAAACACTTCAGATCCAGAGGAGATGCGTACGGCGATGGCCCGTTACACGAACTTGCACTCACAGGGTTTGAACCAAGTGCCCCCGCCAGCCGGGGTTCGAGGAACTGTTCACAGGATTATACTTACTGCTTTGTGTCTGGTGGAAATGCGTTTTATTTTCTTTATAAAATAATGGGTAATCTTTAAAATTGATTTTAGATGCTTCGAGGCATTACACCACAAAAGTAATGAGCACTAATGCCAATGCTATTGGACACAAATTCATTTTCGCTTTATTTCACGTCCAGAGCAATCCTGCTGAGCCTTGAACTGCTCGCGCCGTGGGGAACGGGCCGGGACCCACCCCACGGGCGCGGCAGACAAAGGGGACCAGAGCCCGCTGGTCGCGACCTCAAGGCTACTGTCTTCTTTCCCGGGCTATAATTCAATTTCCAATTTTACTGTACATTAGACCCATTAGTTCCCAGTGTTTGCTTTTCTGCTTAATGCTGCCATCTGGAGGCCACGCAGGAGAAAAGCGACAGGGAGCTGGGCACACCCCGCTCTCGGTTCCCAGGCAGGCGACGCGCTGGGGGGACCTCTGACCACCCGCAGGGCCTGAGGTTCAAAGACAGCACATCTGCTCCGCACAGCTCTGCGGTGTTCAATTCCCTCGCCCGGCCGGCCGGCGAAATTTATGCCCCCGTGCCCCACCGGTATGAGTTTTCAGCAAGCAAAAAGAATTTCTAATGTATTTATGATTTTTATTTTTAGTTAGATATTTCATTCCCAAATTAAAAATACGAAATGTGGAGAGTGTTCTCCCACGTGGCTCGGTGAGCGTCACTGGTTCATTGAACGCGATATCGGGTTTAATATATATCAGCGAGTGTTGTGACTGCCATCACCACAATATTAAATCTTATTTTTACCTTAGTCATATTTGTGCCACATTTTCCACAAACAAATCTAATTGCAGTGAATCAACTTCAAACTTAATATAAAGAGTACTTTGTAAAACAGTCAATAAAATGTCATCGTTATAAGCCTCCATAAAAATAAATGTATGCAATCCTTAAGCCTTTATAAAAGGAACAAAAAAATAGCCTCTAGAATTTTTAAGGAATTTGTGAAAAGCTATTTACAACCTGAGTCCAAAGTGATTCCTGTCCCCATGACAACTTTAAACTACACAGAGCAAAACCCGTTTTTCTCTTGAATTGGATACAGTCGAAAATCTGGTTTTCCTCAACGTGATTTTATTAGGTGGGTTATATATTGGTTCAGTTGAATATATAGCTATGCAAAAACATTTAATCGTAACTAAGGATGCCCTGGGTCTACCGTACCCAGTGTGATGACGCACACACACATCTGTATCACATGTGGAAGGTTAGCAGTGTGATGTAGGAAAAAAATTCTAATTCAGCCTGTTTACCTCTTACCATGAGAAAAAAAGAAAAGCTACAGACCTTCACTGAAGGCGTTCATGAACTGTGCTGTGGTGCCCTCTACTGAACACAGACATAAAACTCTGTGCGTGTGTGTGCGTGTGTGTGTGCGTGTGTGTGCGCACAAAACTAACTGTAATGTTTCCATGATATCCTTTGGTAAAAAAAGAACTATAATATTCCTTAAATTTTAAAGAAATACAAAAAGCCTACATTGAAGGTACGTGTAGTTACGTTAATGGGATGACTTCAGTAAAGGAGAGTTAGCTCCCATTCGTGGCATCAATCAAACGTAAAAAATTAGTAGGGATGCCATTTTCACAGTTGGAGTCTTACCAACAGAGTTTATAATTTTAGCCTAGAACTTTCTTTTGCCACAGATACTAGTAGAAGTGACTTATAATTTATAATTATCCTGGGGTCCAAAGGGGAGGTCATAGCTTGAGATCAAGATTGAGGGAAAATGAATATATCTGAAAAATCTTGCAATCATACTGACCACATTTAACTAGCATTTAAAAGCTCTGCTAACTGTAAACTTGCCAGTTCCTGGGATTAATATAGTGCCTCCACCTTTCCTATAATTTCCTTGTCTATAAAATTGAAATGATACCTAACTCCTAATATTATTGTAGGTATTGAGATAAAATGTGTAAAAAGCTATACATATAGTAAGTGTTCAATAAATGGTATAAATTACTTTTTGGCACCTACTGAAAGAAACAACTTTCTAATTCCTCTGTGAAGACTGGCCTGCATCTGTACTTTGCTATTAAATATAAATTATTTCACAAATTACCTTAAAATGAAAAAAAGCTGTTTTATTATATACACACACATATGCCCAGAGAGAGAGCAGCATCTTGGTTTCGAAGGGTTTGACCATATTAAGTGCCCCTGGTTCATAACTTCAAAACTTATGAACCTGATTTTTTAAAAATCTACCACACAAGTACCAGTACCCAGCCTGGCCCCAAAGTAGTCACTTAATAAACAGTTTTTCCTCTAATACATCATTTGAATGGCACAACCACCCAGTGAAGTCGGCAAAGCATGGGTAACATTATTACACTCTTTATAGCAAACCAAGGCTCCAAGGCATGAAGTGACATAGCCAAAAAATGCCCTGGCCAGTTTGGCTCAGTGGTTAGAGCGTTGGCCTGCAGACTGAAGGGTCCTGGGTTTGATGCCTCAGTTGCAGGCTCCATCCCTGGCAGGGTTGGGGAGTGTGCGGGAGGCAACCAATCGATGTGTCTCTCACATCAATGTCCCCCCCCCCTTTCTCTCTCCCCCCTTCCTTCTCCCTTTCTCCCTTCCACTCTCTCTGAAAAGCAATGGAAAAAATATCCTCAGGTGAGAATTTTTAAAAAAATAAAAATAAAAAATATAGCCAGAAAACAATCAGGAGCCAAGACTCGTGGGACACCTGGAGCCCAGCTTGTCGAGCTCCTAATCCAAGACACTTTTCACTCTGACGTCTGCATCAAATTCAGCCAGCGAGCAGCCAAACAACACAGAACACAAAAAGAACCGCGCGCAAGCCTAACTCCACTGCAGCCGAATGGCACTCGCTCGGGTCACTAATTTGGTAGCAGCAACTGCGAGAGGGAAGGTCACGTTCAAAACAATGAAGTGGTTCCTGGTCAAAAACACATGCCCTGCGATCAGCTAGCAACATAAATACAGAGACACATGCTGTCCTTTGACCTCACATAAGGAGACCTCTCTGCAGAGACAAGCAGCTCCCCAGTGCTGGCAGGACTGCGGGAACTGGCTGGCCCTGCCCAGGCCTCACAGGCAGTGGCCAGTCTGCAGCTTCCCTGAGCAGCATCTGGAGTGACAGGCCATTCTGCAAACTTGGACTGCAGGGACCACATCTTAAGGGAGAGGCCATCAGCCACCTGGGTCTCAGACAGATAACAATTAAAATCGGAGCAGTCCCCAAAGGGAAAAGGCAGGAATAACTTGACCAGGTCTTTGTTTCTCAAGCCTGTGATACCCAAAAGAATCCCACTGTAATGTTTTCCCAGGACTCGGCTCAGTTACTCGGTCTTCTGGCATCATGTCATTTTCATTCCTCTGGCTTCTTTTTATTTTACGGCCCTCCCTTCCCTCAGTTTATAATCTTGGATGTTTCTGTTTGTCTCCATGACCCCTTCAAAGGCAAGGCACTCTATCAATCAATAGCAATAATTATTAATATTCATGGGCATACTTAATGCCCAACGCCGTTATGAATGAGCCACATGGAGAGAAGGCAGTATATATTATTTCAGGCTAGCTCTAAGGTGCCATGTAGTGAACTCAAAAGGAGATTACTTCAGATCCTGAAGCTAGTAGAAAAGACAGTCCAGGAGACCAGGCCCTGCCACTTAATCAGCAGTCATACGACTCAGCCTATATTCTTTTTTATAAAATAGGAAGTTAGAAAAATTAGCTCAAATCTATTTCATTTTTAAGTGCATCAAACAAATAACGGCCAATACTCAGATACCACACATTATATGCCACACTGCTGTGAGTGCTTTACATTCATTAACTCAGGTCATCCTCTCAACAATCTTATAAAGTAGGTGCTATTGACTCGGCTTTACAGATGGGAAAACACAGGCACAGAGGGCGTAAAAGACTTGCCCAAGCGCCCAGCTAATAATCCCAGCCAGGATTCGAACCCAGGCAGTCTGGCCTCAGAGTCTGTGTGCAAACCAATGCGCTGTCCCATGGGATGGGAATTCCGGCATTCCAGGGTGGGGAAAAAGAGAAATTATAGTAGTGGGAATTTAAGTCGCCTTAACTACAGTACCTCCCATCACCAAGGAATCCAGAGTTAATAGCCCAATGAGACTATCAAACACCAATAAATACCCTCTTATAAATATCCCCTCTAAAGAGCAGAGTCAAGCTACTCATTTAGAAGAGCCCAGAAGGGTATTAGCAGCCCACTGAAGAGCTGACTTTCGTCCATCAATCCCAACTGTTGTAAATAAAGACAGTTTTCAAGAAGTGCCTTTTTAATAAGGCACATCTGTTTCCCGGCAGATTTTACTTTTGTCAGCGAAACTCCCAAGTAATTTGGCTCTGCTTTACAGCTTATGGGACCATGTATTTATCATCTGACTCAATTAGTTCATTGTTTTCTTTCTAGATTTGGTCCCGAATACGCTCCATCAGATACGCGCCACAAGGTGGCGCTCTAATACAGGAAATGAACGGCTGGGCTCCGCTCTAAATCATCAGATTTCGGAGACAATCCTGTTCCCCCTCCCTCATCACAGGATGCTCAGCTTTTGCAAAAAGCACTTTTCTCGAATCGCCTGTGTGGACACACGAGCTTCTGCACACTTACTTTCTGAGGAAATCCTCCAAACCCTGGCGCCGCTGATCCACATGCTGGCGATTGTTCATGTTGAAAAACAGGTTTTTAGATGGAAGTTCTGGCAGTTGTCTTATAAGAAAAGAAAAAAATTATAATCATCAAATTAGGGTAGTTAAGTTACAGAAATCCCTCAAAGTGAAAGCAAGTTATGCATGATAATTATCACACAGTGATTACATATTACATATTAGTTATATAATAGGGATAAGAGAATATTCACTTAAAGAAAACCCAATTTTTAAACATTTTTGAGGCTTTTCATGGTTAATACCCATAAAAGTCAGTGGAATTCAAATGATAAATTTTGAATTCAGATGCCATAGCCATACAACTAACTAAAGTTATCATTACAATCAGGAAGAATGCCTATAAAAGCCTTCACAATTTATACACCTATAAATCAATGCATATCAAAGTTCTAAATATGGAATATAATAATCGAGTCTCCTCGATATGCTCTTTAAACCACTTACACCAGCAGTGCATTACTTTGGAGTCTCTGCCTCAGCCACACAAATTCTCTGTATCTTCTTCGGACACAGGATGTTTTCATTGTAAAACACATGCTATTGGTCTGTTCAGAGAAAAGAAAAATAAATATAAGCCTCACTTGAGGGAAAAAATGCTTTTCTTACATCTATAACTCACTATATGCCCCTCAAAATTTGTTTAAATAAGATTTTTAAAACCAAAAATACATTTTCATTTAAACCGGGCTCAAATCTTGCACATAAACCACCAATATGACAGCCCTGAGGACAGCTGGGGTGGCAAAAATGAGCAGGTTCATCTGGGGCAAGCCATTCACTCCCTGCGCCTCTGGCTCGCCTATTAGCACTGCTTTCCAAGAAGAATCATAACTACAAAGTCCTGAAGCATAAGCGACCAGTAAAAACTGAGGGTCATCCACTGCGTTTTAATACTGTCCACCTGTCCAAGTAGCTGCAGAAGCCTTTGGGGACTAGAGACACCTTCTCCTGGTCTCCAACATGACATCACAGAAGCGATCATGCCCTTGACACGGCCAACACTACCGATCGCACAAATCACGGGGAGTCCTGAAATCACTTTTAAACAAGAGAACAGCATTTCCCTTCTCTAGTAGACACGCGAGGGAATGTGATCTGAGTTAGAGAGGGGTGAGAGGCACAGGGACAAACATCCCCACGGTGACCCAAATCCCAGGCCTGCTCTGCTATAGGGAAATCACTTCAACTCCAGTTTCTAGAGTGATAAAACCGGGGCGCAGCGGTATGTACCTATGTCACAGGGTAGCTGTGAAGGTCGATAACAAGCGCTTGGCAAATGTTACCCATTAACATCATTACTAGTTACTAGATGTTGGTTTCCTTCCAGCTCCCCTAAGGCCACCTGCAGAGTCCCCATCCTCAGTAAAATGGCAGAGCTTCTCCTTTGGGTAACACAAGAGTTGGGCAAATATTTGTCTACTGATTTTGTAAGATCTCCATCCTCCATTGATTTCAAATTTCTATTTCATCATCTTTACATTACCAAATGAGAACTTTTTGGCCCCCAAGATTTATATTATTTCAAGAACTATTATGCCACCATTTAATAAGCACCCAGCAGTTGTTCTCCTTGGGAAATGTGATTATGCGCGTTAGTTCTTAAACTGTTCCCAGGAAATGGATGAGTTTCTGGCATTCCCTCAGGAAACCTGGGCTGCAGAGAGGTTACATTAAGGGACCTGCCCCTAACGTAGTGATTGGTCTCAATCGCATCATCTTTGACGATAGAACAGCAAAATGTGCTGGACGGAGTTTGTGGCACAATAACATCCTGTGTGTGGATTTCAAAGCACGCCAGGGCCTCGCTCTAAGGTGATCCTTGGGGAGTAAGAAAGCAGGCCGTGCCGGCAGGTGTGGCTCAGTGGTTGAGCATCGACCTGGGATCCAGGAGATTGAGGTTCGATTCCCAGTCAGGGCACATGCCTGGGCTGTGGGCTCCTTAGTCAATCGATGACTCTCTCATCACTGATGTTTCTATCTCTCTTCCCTCTCCTTTCCTCTCTCTGAAATCAATAAAAACATATTTTAAAAAAGAAAGAAAGCAGGCCATTTACACCAGAATTAGTGTCCTAACAAGGCCTGGGCAGGTATCCTGTCGGTGCTCCCTCCCCAGAGAGGACCAGGCCGCTGCGGGGACCCTACCCCAGGTACTCACTGGGCCAATTTCAAGTCCCTTTCATTTCTCTGTTCAGATTCACTGTGGATCCAATAACTGGAGATCCAGCCAGTGCCTGCACCTGACAAAGGTCCATCTACCTCTAAGTCCTTCATTTGCAGAACAAGTTCAGGAGAGTGTATATGATTGATTACCCACCTCTAGAGTCCACTTGTTTAAAATTCCAAGTAAATGCTAAGATTTCAGAGTCACCTGATATCATTTCCCTTGAGGTTAATTTACAGGGGTCAAACCGGCTTCTCTGCCTGCAAAGCTCTATGGGTATAGCACCTAAGGGAGGCTGAGCAGGACTCTCCGATCCCCCCATCGATTCTTAATTCCACAACAGGATCAGAGGACGCTGAGATCACTAGTTTATTACATTCCTCTAAATCTATCTGCTTGTGTCTGCTACCTACCAGGCCAAGATTTATTCATTGTCAATCTATTAGCATTTCAGAGAAACGCCAGAACATCACCAAATAATATTTGTGGAACCCATCATTTCTGGCTCCAGGTGGACACTTCTGAATCCATATCATGCTACTTGAGTAGCAGAGAAAGACCTGTGCTGTCATAGCTCCCTGAGGGGAATCAAACGTCACACCTACCATCAAGCATGTGACACGATGCACAAATGTTTTAGAGGAAGTTAAAAGGCAACTAAAGAATTCGTTTCATTTCCAAAGGCTTAATCTTACATATTTGTGTTATAATTTCCCACACAGAATTTACATCTGTGCGACTTTATGAGCAAACCCAAAACAAAATCAAAATACAAAGTGTACCCTGGCAATGGCCTTCAACACTACCATCAAAAACGCAGCTCTGAGTTTTTACTTTGTTTATTTTCTAAATTGGAGAACCCCGAGGGGAAAAAGAAAGGAGAAAAAAAGAAAAGTTTTATGTCTAGTGATTGTGTGTCCAGTATACCAATTTAGCTACTTACAACTTGTGCTATGTTGTCACAGATAAAACCTGGGCTGTTGCTATGCTCCCGAGAAAAGTCTAGACTAAATCAGATGGGAAAAGTGAGTATAGGCATGATCAAGGCCATAAAACTCTAACACATGGGCCAAGTCCAGCTTGTCACTTGTCTTTACAAATAAAGTTTTATTAGAACACAACTACACTCATTCATTGATGTCTTATTTATGGCTGCTTCCATCCTCCAAGAGCAGAATCGAGTAGTGTTGAGGGAGATTGTGTGGCCCATAGAGCTGAAGACCTTTACTACCGGCCCTCCACAGAAGTTTGCTGACCTTGTTCAAGATGATCACAGAAGGCCACAAGCAGCGTAACATTGCTCAAGAGATTATGACGGAGCATTATTTCCAAATAAAGAACATCATTTCTGGTACTTTACTTGTGTTGATTACTCAGAATCTAGACAAAGGCTAGATAATTGCACATATTCAGTTCCTACTTTCTGAGTCTACATATAAAACACTGCAGGTCTCTTCTCCGGAGAACCCTGCATCCTCTTAAAGCAGAAGATTTATCAAGCGATATATAGGGTGTCCCAAAAAAATGTATACACACACTTTGAATAATTATACAGGCACTGTTTATTAAAACACATTTCATTTTCAAAATTGAGCTATCAGCTGTTACATTTTTGTGATGATATATGTATACAGTGTGTACATTTTGGGGGGACACCCTGTATTTATTACCCAGAAATATGCTGTAACAGATCATAAATACCATTAATGAGGTATAAATATTCTTTAACTGTGAATTTTAGATGTAGTCACATCTTCGTGCAGGCAATAAACATTAAAATATTAATATTAACAAAGGTACAAAAAAGAATTGAAATAAGAAAATTTTCAACTTTAGGGAACATCTTACTACCTCCTTTAAGATACAAGCATTAGTAGTAATCATTAAAATTCAGTTCTTTGAATTAGGAAAACTTTACAAATGTCCACTGTAAGTATATCATAGTATTTCATCAAACACATGCTACTAAAAATCACTACTGACGGCGTACTTACATGAATACATATCTCGTAGTCGATATAAGAATGCCAGAAGTCCTCCTTCTGAATCCTAGGGTCTCGAACCCAGACACTCACGAACTCCTGTAAGGGCATCACAAACAGAGAGCTGTTTGGGGACTGCAAGTGGGGCTGGAAAGAGATGAGAGAAATGACTGTGCTAGAGCAAAGCGGAAATGAGCCTCAACCAATGTGGTTACGATCCTTTAAAAAACAAGAAGTTAATGAATCGGGCACCATAGAAAGCCCCAAAAAAAAGAACACTTTTGCCACAAAATGGAATTTTTAAAATAATTCAAAACCAAGCTGGGTGCACTTCTGGAGAGTTTTGCAGGTTATGTGAAGACAGTAAGAAAGTATACTTTAAAACGGAATCTTAATTTTCAATCATGAAAAATAGGTTCATGTTTTTCTCAAATTTTAAAAGCAGTCATTTCTTATTTCTTCATCTCTCTAAATTAAAATTATAGGCCCTGCGTCACTTCCCAGAACCAAGTAAGGGTAGCAAAGGTCATGCGGAAAGCAAGCAACAGGGTTGAAAATGATTTGGGGTATGCACCCCAGCTTCATGAGGATAGGCTTAGTTAAAAACACTGCCGTGGCCTGGCCGGTTGGCTCAGCGGTTAGAGCGTTGGCCCGCAGACTGAAGGGCCCTGGGTTCATCCCGGCCCAGGGCAGGTGCCTCGGTTGCAGGCTCAATGCCCGGCCCCCGGTCGGTGTGCAGTGTTGCTCAGTGGTTAGAGCGTCGACCTGCACACCAGAAGGTCTGGGGTTCGATTCCCAGTCAAGAGCACGTGCCTGGGTTGCAGGTTCAATCCACACCCCTGGGCAGGGCAGGCAACCAGTTGATGTGTCCCTCTCACATCGATGTCTCTCCCCTCCTCCCCCGCTCCCTTCCACTCTTTCTAAAGAATCACTGGAAAAAATATCCTCACTCCTTGGGTGAGGCTTAACTATATATATATATGTATGTATATAACAGTGACCACCAAGGAAAAAATGAGAACATGTATAACAAAAATGTATTACGCTTACATGATAAGTATTAAAGTATAATTTATTCAATTGGTGATTATAAATTTGTTAATGGAATTTAATTTTCAGTATTTTAACTTTTGGGTTAAAAAAAGAGGGATTTCAAGGCTGAAATTTTAGCCATTTCTTACTGCTTTCTTTGACACACCTGAGAGGCAGGCTGCAAACATGCTGGAGCGGAAGGGAAGAAAGAGTGTGGGGTTTTCTGGACAGAGCACCCTCATTCTATTAGGCAGATACTCAAATGAGAATTTTCAGTACAGAGTAATTTAAAAAGGAGAAACACAGTCCACAGTCCCCGAAAATAACCTTCGCCACCTATCAAGTTCACCTTCTAAGACAACATGCACTCTGTCCTTGCACTGCAGACCTCTGCCCCACCACCGGCCCTCGTTAATGTTCCAAAAAGTCTTATTTTAAAATCTTTTCATTATGCATTTTTAATGTCATTCAGAAGACAGAGAGGCAATAAAAACGAGGTAACAATACAGTGATGCTCTAAATGTTTGGGCTATTATTTCTCAAAAGCACTTTCTAAATTGTAAGGGGCACCATAAAAACAATTGTGAAAGCAAAGTATTTGTAACAGCCCCTCACTCCATATAGTGTGATCGGGTTAGGGGTGAAATACATCCTGCCTGGAGATGGAAACTGAAGGAAACTAAACCCAGGCAAGGCCGTCAGTCTGTCCACATTTCACCTTGTCTCGTGTGTGTGTGTGTGTGTGTGTGTGTGTACTTTATGACTTCTTCACTGGCACAAAGATGAATATATTACTATTATATATTAAAACCTTGTCTTTGACCTAAATGTTCATTTTTTTTTTCCTGATTAAAAAAAAATTTTAACATTTTCATGGGCCCCTAAAAGCACTGCGGGCCCTGGGCACTGTGCCTAATGGAGCTGGGCTGAGCCTACACGCTGAGCAAGGGACCCCGCTCTGAGCCAGATGGCTCCTAGTCATCAAGTCACATGTGAGCCACGCTGCCTCGCCGGGGACTGGCAGCTCTGTTTTTCCACAGGAGAGGCAGAAGGCCTCAAATATACCAAAAGGGAAATTAAGTATTTCCAACAGCTCAATGTTCCATATTAACAGAACACGCGCACCTGTGGCTGAAACGGGGGCCTTGGCACAGGTCAAACAAAAACGAAAGGCCAGAAAACACATTGGCAATTTGCTACAAACTTGTGATTTCAAAAAAATGTTTCTGACCTTAAGCTATGAAATCCACATACCCCTGAACACTCAATCTATTACTAATCGATGATGAACGACGACAAATCGTTCCGGAATAAATCCGGTCTTCTTTTTCCTATTTGTTTGCTGTTGTCCAGTTGTTAACAAATATGAGTAACACGTCCCTTTTCACGGGAAGATCACCGAAACTACGGTCACAAGTCTAGGGAAAAATTCTGTCACCCACTTCTTAAATTATGAACTTATTCACTGAGCCTCTGTTTCCACATCTGGAAAATAGGAATAATGCCCGTGCAACCTACCTCGGCTGTTTAATTAGGAGAACCAAATTATAAAATACTGGTGAAAATACTGGGCAATTTTTCATTAGGTGCTACGTGAACATAGAGTATTATTATACTTTTCTATGTAAACTATTATGCCATAGAAAGGGAAAGGCTTCTAAACCCAAGCACTGAGGTCCTCATACAGACACTGGCAGTAAGGAAAGGTTAACCAGCTGTGTATGTTCTTTAACAGCAAAAACTATTAAGAATCCAACAGCAAACACCCACACGGTAATTTTTCAGGGAAAGGCGGAGTGACCTGACGATTGCATAGCACTTCCTCGGAGCAGGCCCTTCGGATATTTGTGAAAGGAATGGACAGCCTAGCGACAAGTCTGCAGAGTCTCTTTTCTTCAGCTCCATGGGTAGGTAGTCTCAGGTCTACCATTGTTACTACTCATTAAGTTTAATCTTTTGGGATAAGGGGACGTTGAATACTTATTCTAAAACCATGCTGGGGGGAAATGGTAGGACACAGTGAAAACCTTTAACTTGGTTAGAGTGCTAAATGCCCCCTTCTCCTGTGGCTGCCGGGCTTCCCTCCTCCCTGTTCCCTCTCTTCTTGGTTCTGTTTCATGCCGCTGCGGCCCCGAGGGTCATCCAGGCTGCTCTGGTTCAAGGGCCACCTGCCCACCATTAATCGCTGCGAGGGCTGCTAACTGATCTCCGGGCCTGTATCCAAGTCATCCCCCACCCGAAGGCAAGCATGGCTCCAAAGCACACATCCGATGACGTCATTTTCCTGCTGAAAATCCTTCAAATCCTGCCCCATGACCTTCAAGATCAGCTTCAAACTCCTTCGCTAGCACAAAGGAGCCTTCCACGGTGTTCACCCTGCTTACCTCCGAGGGCTGAGCGAAGGTCCCCACACACAACGTGCCATTTCACACCTGCACACCTTTGGACAAGCTGTTCTCTCTGCCTGGACAGCTGTCCCCACCCCACTTTCTGCTTTGTTTTTCTTCTTGGTTGTCTTCTTTTATTTTCTCCTAACTCCAATTCCGTTTTCAAAAAACTCGGTCTCTGGAGATGCTCAGATTCATCCACTCTGACTTACAGGTTTGACCCCCCTAAGCCCCTGCCTCTGGGCAGACCTCGCTGCCCAGCTCGCCACACTAACCGTACGGTAGTTACCCGCAGGTCTCCTCTAGCAGGTGCTGAGCTCCTTTAGGAAAGCAGCCTGTCTCCTAGGACTTGAATGCCTGGTGCATCCAATGCATTCCACTATCCTTAATGAATGCATGCATGCCTGCAGGAATAAGTGAGTAAATTGCCTTGGGGGGGTAGCTCAAACTTCAGTTGAAATAAAAACCTCCATCCACTTGGGTTCCAGGGCTTCATGAACAGCGATAAGTTATTTAGCAGCTGCTCTAAAGTTTATCTTAAGTGAGCAAGCCCCTTCCACTGAGGGTGCGCCGATTAACAGCACATGCTGCCAGGCGATGTTTCAGACCCGTGAGGACTGTTTCCCAGCGCCCTAAAGGACCCCAGAAGCACCTATTTACACAGAAATCATTGAAAAATCATTCCGATAGCTTCAATAACTTGGGTCCCCGAAGGCCTGTACCAGACAATAATTTGTTTGGCTCGTTGAAGTTAAAATATGTACTTGGAAGTAATAAAAGTACACTTATTTTAAAATATCCTGTCGCTCAGATGGGCCTCCCCTCCCCCACCCCGCAATTAGGAGGAATTAGGGAAGTTCAGCCGAGCTTCCAGCTACAAATCGCACACCCAGGAAGCGGGTGCACCTCCGATCCCCTAATTAGACACGTCCCTAGTGGCAGTGCCCGCCATCCGTCTCGGGGACGCCGACAGGCCGCCCGCCACACAGGGCAGCTCAGGGCTCCACACCTCCAATCATATGGATTTCCTATGAAAATTGCTTCGGCAGCAGCAGTTACTCAATTTAATAACCTTATTAAACACTTTAATGACTTCTTGGGCCTAATGACGGTATCTAGGATGGAGGTGGAAGCCAGGCAGAGAATTAAAAATTTAAACTCACTGATCCCTACTGTTCTCCATGGGAAAACGGGCTTCTGAAGAGAGCCCGCTAGACTCTTTGACAATCTAATCCCCGTGTCCTCTTATAATAATCGCTCTTTGATTTTAATATACTCTCTCTCCCCACACCACCCCAAGTTCAATCTTTGTCCACTTACCTACCTACCTTGTCTTTTTTTTCTTTCTTAGCCCTGATATGAGATGAAATTAACAATAAAAATAGCTGTATTGTACGGGGCACTGACGCGGGCCAGGCATGGTAGTAAGTGTTTCACACNTCTTAGCCCTGATATGAGATGAAATTAACAATAAAAATAGCTGTATTGTATGGGGCACTGACGCGGGCCAGGCACGGTAGTAAGTGTTTCTTTCACACGTGTTTTGCTTTCATCTTGACAGCAATCCTAAGAGGTCAGTAATATCAGCATCCCATTTTACAGACAAGAAAAAAACGGCTTCTAAAGCTTAAGCAGCTGGCCCCAAGTCAAACAGCCAAGAGGCTGAGGGAGGTTTCAGAT